CTGCGCGTGCGCGCACGCGGGAAGAACTTAAACTGCTTGTATCTCGACAACGAAGGGTCGGATTTCGAAACGGATTTTAACAGTAATCGTTGCTCGAACAATTTTAGAGTTACTGGTAGTTATTAAAAAAAAAAAGTTGCTTTTTGGTGAAACTTCAAAGGGTTACTTTAAACTATTGGATATGGTAGTTCTAAATAATCGATTACGCTCTATATTTAAAAAAAAATAGATTTTATTTCTCACGACGGCTGCGGAATTCTTTTCGTTATGAGATCTCAGGCTTGACTAACTAAAACTTCGACCCTAGAAGGAAATCAGGGTCCTCACATATCTCTCGACTGTTTATGTTTCGCGTCGCCACAGTTCGACTTTTAAAACAAAGTATCGACGGCGATACATAAGAGTGAAACACTTCGCAGAACGCCGATTCAATTTTGAACAAAGAACAATAAATTCGTTCTTCGTTAAGCGTATTGATAATCAAACATAAACTTAATTGAATTTGTTATCCGACTCCATGAAATTTAGGCCAAAGGTATTATCGGAGAGCAATCCTTCTGCTCTGTGGCATCCCTGGGGAGTATTCTATTCGGCTTCCAACCAGCACGCTAGTTAGTATCGCTTACCTGCTTGAAACCTCGGTACATAACTCGGATTTCCTGTCGCGAGAACTTGGTCAGCCGGAGGAGTTCCTCGAGAGCGACCGGTCGGGTGGTTTGTTGCCTAGTTCTGGAGCTCTCGAAGTCAAAAAGTGCCTCTTCCGGTCCCGGCGAGTCCGGCGGCGTAGCCATTCCTGGTTAGCCCTTGGCTGCCTCTGAAAATCCCTTCTGACGAACCACGACCCTCCTTGTCCGGCCTTTTTGCTGTCACGGGTCACACCACGGCTACTTCATCCCTCTTCTTTACTCTCATCCTCGTTATCTTCATTCGTTCGCCGCGGCCCGACCGTCCTCAGGTTCTCCGAGCTCGCCAGAGGGGGGCAGCCAGGCGGCCAGTGTCTGGAAACAAAATGGAGTCGACGTTGAGATCGCAAGCTTTCAAGATTTGTTTCTGTTGGGATTCGTGGGATGTAGGTTTACAGATAGTGGTGCCTGAGGACACGAAGTTTGGGGACACTGAGCTTAGAGAATGTGAATTTAGAGGCACTGAGCTTGAAAATACCGAGCTTTGGAACACTCAGGTTAGAGACTATGAGCTTGGAGGCACTAAGCTTAAGAACTCTAAGCTTGGAGACTTTAGAGGCATTTAGAGGCACTGAGCTTAGAGACACCGAGCTTTGGAACACCGAGCTCGAAGGCACAAAGCTTAGGTACTCTAAGCTTAGAGACACTGAGCTTTGGAAATCTGAGCTTGGAAATACTGAGCTTTGGAACACTGAGTTTTGGAACATTGAGTTTACGGACTCTGAGATTGAAGGCACAAAGCTTAAGAACTCTAAGATTAGAGGTACAAAGCTT